GCCCGGGTTTGGGATGAGAGTTGTCCTTCTCCTAGGATGACTGCCAGAAGGCTAATGAGCTCATCCTGCCCAAGGATGTAGTTTATCTGGCCCTATGGTTTTGACCTGTCTGGCATGGGCAACCCTACCAAAGGCATGAACCCTCGCCAGCATAGCTCGCAACCACATAGGGGTACATAGGCTACGTTCCTGTTAGAACGATTTGGGCAGGTCTTTCATTTCCAGTAACAACCCTTTGTCCTGCCCACTCTTTCAGGGTGTAACAGAGCAAAGCAAATATATCCAGAACATGCCGAACCTGGGCAGTAGCCGCAGGAGAGCCAAAACTAAAGAAATAAATAGACAAACAAACAAACCAACCGACCAACTGTTCTGGCCCCCATACCTAGCCAAGGCTGGGGTACCTTACAAGGCCCCAGCCTGGCCGGGACCACCATCAATCTAAAAGAACCCTCTATCCATCCAGACCTTATCCTTCCCCACTGTTGAGCACCACTAATGGTCAACAAAATCACAAACCGCTTGAAAACTCAGCTTAAAAAGACCACACAATCACCATGTAAATGTTGTCCTGTTCTATACTAGAAACATTTCTGACTTTTGATTGGCACGTTGATAAATTCCTGCAACCAACATCATGTGACAAAAGGGCTAACCCAACATCCAGCATTCCTAGTGCTCATAAATGGGATCACACTTCTTTACAAGCTCTTGGAAAGGGAAAATATATTTTTTAATTGTCGTATTGGCAAATAGGAAAGGTAGATAGGGAAAACCAAGAAAAATATATTTAGTTGAAGTAAGTGCCCAAAACAAATACCAGTGCTTTATGAGTGCTGGAAACAATTTGAGCAGTCCATTTTTCTTACAGAATTATCTATCCATAAGGCATTCCCAGTAGATGAACAGTGCCCACCAGTCTTTGCCAAGCAAAGGAAAAAGGGGAAAAAATTTGCACATAAGTTGCTATGGTCCTTTTTCGGTTTGCAGTAGTTTTGCAAAGTAGCGTTCAGAGTCATTTGTTCTGTTTTCAGCAGTGTCCTTGACCATACCCCCTGCCAGTAACAGGATCTTTAAGTCCAAGAGAAAGAAAGAACTTTTTTTTTTTTTACCCAACTAGCAGAGGATGTGCTGAGCCAAAATAGAAATAGCAAGGTCAGGTCAGGGCAAGGCCCTGCATTTCATTAGCCAGGCCTAGCTAGGAGTGATTAAATATGTACAAGAGGCTTTGAATAGATCCAGGGAGGAGGGATGACATTGTGGAATACAGAAAAATCATTCTTTAGTGCTGTCAACTGACTAAATACAGGATGGTACATAATTAGAGAGATTAAAAGAATTTTTTCTAATTATTTAAATTCTGTAGAAGAGAGGGGATTTTTTAAATTTTCTGATGAGTGTTTTGAAGAGAAGGAGAGGAGGGTCTGGACAAAATGCGTCAGCCTGGCTTAACAGAACCCAGATAGCCTCAAGATACATGTTGACCTAGCCTGTAGTTCTCTTGAGTTTAACTTGATGAAGGCTCAGTAAAAGGACAAAATTATATTGGCAATGAAACCAAGGACCTGCTAAATTTTGGAGGCGCTTTGGCTAGAAACTGATGACCTTCAGAGCACATTGTACTGTCTGTTTCATCTGACATGTTAGAGAATTTGAAAAGAATGGAGCTTTGAAGCCAAAAAAGTACTGTGTCAAGTGCTTTGGCTACCCAGCTTGAATTTACTTTTGAGGCTGCCTGACTTAACTGACATTTTATAGCTGTATTGTAATTCTTGTATGACAATAGCATTGTTGCATAGGCACCTAGGCTCTTAACGCCCACAGTTTGTAGTCCTTTCCTTAGAAAATACCAACCAAGTTGGTTGAAACTAGAATATGTTTACATTTGTCTGGAGCACCAACAATAATATCTTCACAAAATTTCTAGGGGCTACTTTTTAAACCAGCCCAAAGGAATTTGAATTTCCACTTTATACTTCTGAAAAATGATTCCTGCAGCAGCATAATACTCCTTAGTCATGTTGGAAGGTCAATTCTGAATCAGCTGGGGATTTCTGCATACTCATTTTTGCATGAATCTACCTTAAAACAATGTGAAAGCCAGGATTTTGTTATGGTAGTGCAATTTATGTATCTAGACACAAGTGTATTTACAGTAGTATGAAGATATTTGTATCATACTGGTTCTTGTTACCTAAACAGTATATTTTTCCTTCTGGTCCAGTATGTCTCGACTGCCTGAAAATTGTTTTCTTGGGCAGTGTTGTATCTTCTTTATTACTGTAAATATAAAGCTTATAAAAAATCTTTTGCTTTTCTGGAAGTCATTTGATAGTCGGGCTGACATTAACGGTCTGTTCACTGGCAGAGGTATATAGTTTGATTTATATGTTTTCATGCTAAGATGTTAGATTGGCAACCCTGGGAACAGAAATACTCAACTAATTGCCCAAACATGCAGTATATTGCAAACTTTGCCAACCTTTCACAGTGATAGATCCTTGAGCGTGAGAGCATATCTAAGCCTTCTGAGGGTATTCAGTGCTGAACCCGATAGGCCCAAGAAGTGCTTTTTGTTAGCTCTCTTCATGATTCACGAAGGTAAACAATGACTGTGAGTTTCTTTTGTAAAGCTATTTAACAGCCAGCCTGGCAATAACAGCTCCAAGTCAGAATTAACAAGAGCTACGTTTCAAGCTATGGTAACTTTATTGTGAAAGGCTGCAGATCCCACTTTCCCACTTTCCATCCTGGGATGGAATGACCAGTTGTGGGCCTGCAAGTTTGGGTCACATATTCGTGGAGACTTCTAAACTAGCACTAGTGTAAATTTAGTCTCTGAGGCTTAATCAGAAGCAGTATTTGTCAATAGATGGTCACTGAATCAACACTGCTGTTCCCAATTACCCATCACAGCAAGTTCTAACCGCTGACTGATTGTGAAACTTCTCATTCTTTCCCTGACCATTCCTCCATCTGCTCTTCTCCTCCTTTTCAGGTTTTCCCCCTCCTGGTCCTCTCACCCATGACCTTCCCCATTTCCCCTCTTCTTCCCTCCATCCACTCCTTTTCCATTTTTTCCTCTCCCTCCTCATGTTGCTTCCATTCCTTCATCTCCCCATTCCTACTGCTCTCCCTTTCTTGCATTACATTTTTTTCCTTCATATGTCCCCATGTATTTTTCATTTTTACAGCTTCCTACAGCTTCCTATCGCCCTCCCCTCATTGTCACATGGAATAAGTAGCGGTGTTATGAAGATGGGGATGCTATTAGCAGCATCGTATTAATCTATTCTGCATCATTCCTCTGTCTTGTCCTCATAGTTTCTTCTTACTAGTTGCCTTACTGGTGATGTATTAAATATATAAAATTTTTTTTTTTTGTTCCTTTTCTTTAGAAATCTAGGGAAAGGAAGACAGGCAGTAGGAATCTGCTTATTTGTCCTTTTCTCATCCCATGAAGCCAGGGTGGTTCAACTGTGGGCTTCTTCTGTGCATAAGAAAGGGTAGAGGCCCTGCCTTGAAAAACTTGGCTTTTTTTTACCTTCAGGTTTTCTTCCAGACCCTTTTTTAAGTAAATGGAAAGGAGTGATTTTCTTGTATCACTGGCACTCTTTTCTTTTCCTCCTCCTCCCTGCCCAGTCATGTCCCTAATTAATTGAATTCTCTATTAGACCTTTTGTGAGTCATTTCAATTACCCATTAGTGAAGCAGCCTGGGACTTCTGCTGTGTTTTCACTCATCTTCCTGGAATTTCTCTTCTCCTCCCTCCCCCTCCTTCCCCTTTTAGTCACTCTGATCTGTGAAAAGTATTAGATGGACTTCAGTGCCGAGTGCCTATATTGTTTGCAGGCCCAGCTGCATACTTCTACACTCTGCCTTGTGCGTCACGGCTATTCATCTTGTTTTGTACTTGGCTCTGCTGCAGATGCTGTAAATATGGTAATTTTAGATTCCCTGATTGCAAAGGGTTGCAGGGCGGGTCTAAGTGGTAAGAGCACTGTTTGATTTACACTAGTTCATTCTGGTTTCTTAGAGTTTGGAGTTTTAACGTTACAACTGAACTGAAACATGGTTGTAAGGCAGTTTCTTTTTTAGCGTTAGGAGAAGGATACATGTGAGGTTAGCTTTGTGTACCAACATACAAAAGCGCTGCCCCAGAAACTCTAGGGAGACTGGAAAGAAAGCAGGAGATAACTTCTCAGATTATTATGTAGAATGCCTTCACACAGAGATAGCTGCAAAACATGGATGGATCTGTAAACGACAAAAATGGAAAAGATCCAGGACAGAAAACTGTGAAGGGCAGATCTGTAAGTTGACAGAAATGCCATCAATACTGAAGTACTGTAGACTTATGGCAATCCCTGAAGAACAGCTTATTTCTAGAAAATTTTTGAAATACTGGGTAGGACTGTAACAGATAACACGTATTATATTTCTGAAGAGAAGAAGGCAGTGATAAAGCTAGCTTACTGGACTTTTGATGGATGCAGTGACTACCTGAAATCCAATATATGGAGAATCACATTTCTATTCTGAAATTGAATTTGTACAGCACATGAATCTTTTGGGCTTGGGGTAATTCTCAAGTGATACAGAGATGCAAACAGCATCGCTGGGAACCAGCCTGCTGGAAATGTGCCTCACGCATCCCAAGTTACGAAAGTAATTTACAGTGCTCAAGCTATTATGATACTTTCATAATATTATGATGCTTGTCCCTGTGAGGTTAGAGTATTTCAAGACAGAAGAAACTTTTGATAATCAGGCTGTTGTGAGAAGGCTCTCTCTCAGAGCTTCCCAGGGGGACCTCATTTGTTGAACTGACGGGAAGCGAATTTACGAGGCCTCCCTGCACATCAGTATTCACAGGTACATTTTTTTTCCTCCTAACTCTTTATCCAGTCAAAGGAGAAAGGAAGGGAATGTTGTGAAAATACCACTTGGTACAGACACATTAAAATGTTAGTAGGAGACCTACTGGGAATTATTTTAACTTTAATGTCTTGAAATCTTGGTGCCCCAGTAGGCAGCAGTGGATTTCAGAGCTTCATTAGATGACCCTGGAGTTCTGCCTCTTCACAAGGTGGCATTACTTGAGTTGAAACTGTAAAAGAGAGAAAGGAGCTAGTGAAGAGTTGTATATGTGAGCCCCCTCTTCCTTTATGGGACATGCAGCAGCAGGGCCCATATCACTTTATCTGAAGTTACCAGGTCATGGCAACACCTTTCTTTAGCTGTCTGTGGTATTGCTCTATTTTCTTGCACACATTTCATTGCTAGTATCATATTACAAGGTTTTGTCATTTGACAGGTCTTACACCTTTTCCTTTCTTATATATCCTCTTAGATTAAGTATTCTGCTGCAGAGTTAGCATGGTGAGGACTGCTACCCAACTTCTGGGCTGAGCAACAGCAGCATCTGAAATGGAGCTTTGGACCTGCTGTCATTTTGCCTGATAAGCTGCCCAGTGTGTGCCAGAGGATACCAGCTGTGCCAGGGATATTGATTGAATTACCCATGCTCTAGGCAGCTTTCTGCACCTTTTTGTAGTAACTCTTTTCTTTTTCCAAGAGAAAACAACGGGACAGAAGACTTCTGCTACACTAGACCAAGAAAAGAAGCTATTTGTCCCAGCACAGAGCTGGATCCTTTATCACTGACAGGATAGCACATATACTGTAGGAGAAAACTCTGTTAGCCCTTCCATGCCAAAGAGTATGTGATGTTCATTTTTCTTACATGGGACCTTAATTCTCCTCCTATAATGTTATTAGATTTCTTTATATGGCTTTTGCTGCTGTGTGACACTGCTTGGCTCCTACAAAGTACTGCTGTGTTTTACTCCAAAGCTGTTTGCGTCTTAGTAGCAGATGAAAACCTGACAACCAAACTTAAATGGGGTAGCTAGTTCAGTTGGTTAGTAAAGGAGCTGCAAAAAACTGAAGTTTATTGCATTCCTAACCTCTCTTGCAGTTTTCACAGGTAGGTCTGTATATATAAAGAAATCCACAACTTCTAGAAAATACAGTCCCATGTATGTAAAATACAAGTTGAAAAATACTTTGCAGAGCTGGACTCAACACTATGTAATGCAGAGAATTCTCAAATCTTTCAGACCTCCCTAGCCCTTTCAGGAACCTCTCAATACTTTGTTTTGTTCCCAAATTAACTTTGCTCAAGCACTACCCTCAGCCCTACTGGCAACTCTTCCCATCTCCAAGTTGCTTAGTACACATGGCTTCATTCACATGCCACTTGGAAGTACCCTGGCATGTAAGTTCACAGGGTGAGCCCATTGCCATCTCTTGTCCTTCCCCTAGCTGTTGCTGCATTGCCATTTGATGCATGAGCACGATGTTGAAAAGTGTGTCTTACCCAGTGTTCTTAACTGGGTTAGTATTTGGGTGTGGGTTAGTCTTTGAGCCGTGTTAATCCAGAGTTTCCTAGGTCCCAATTCTGTTCTAATTCTTCTCTAGAACAGATGTCTAATCTAGTTCAGTCCATCTGTTGGGTTGCAAATAGCAGGTTAAATCAAATATATGAAACCCAGTCATTTAACTGGGCATGCAGTGTACAGGGTGAAAGTGGGGAGAAATCTCCCTCTCATTGATTCTCTTCCTCAAAAAGAACTTGTAAACAGATTTGTTTCTTTTTAAAAATAAATTATTAATCATGCTACCTTTTTTTAATCTAAGCAGCTGCATGGCAAAGGTATGGCCTAGGCATCCATTTCTCCATGGGGTTCGTGTTTGATTTTGCAAACAATCAGTGCTTGGAGAGAGTCAGTTTGCATTCCACTCTCTCTCCATTATGTTGTGTGCTTAGAGGGGTTTGTGTGGGCTATCACACTTGGCTCCCATGAGATCCCACATCTGGTAAAGGATAGAGTGTATGACCCCACTCCCAGCCTCTTCCTTACCTCTAACCTCCACCCATTATCTGAGAAAGTTAGACTAAAAGCAACATGTATGATGGCAAAGGTCCAAGTTTGAAATGTGTCCATTGTATGTGTTCAGTTCAAAAAAAACATATCAAGGCAAGTGCAGTCCTTACAAGTAGCACCCCTGGGCCTTCTTTTATTCCAAAGCAGAGATATTTACCAAAGGAAAAGAGGGAAGTGATGGGGTAACAGAGTACACATGTTGTGAAAATATGCAGGCAGAGACTGAAGAAAAAATAACATTCTGCCACAAGTAGCTGCCTTGTTCCCCAACTTTTTTTTTTCCTTCAGATTAGAACCAGTCATTTCTTGTGCTCTTTCAAGCACCTTCTGTGGTTTCCTGACAGCTGGCTGGAGAGGATTGAAATCTGGCTTGAAAAATGGGCCATGGTCATGTTATTTTTAAGAGAGGAGAAACAAAAAAATCCCATAATGGTTGAAATTCACAGGTTTGAGTTTTGGTGGATTGTTTGTTGTTTTGGTTTTTTTTTTTTGTAGAAAATCAGTGTTGGATATTTTAATATATAACTTTAGTTAAAAGTTATTAATAAAGAACACCTACAGAATGAGCTCTTCATTTCTCTTTCCTCTGTTTGATTTATAATGGCAAGCAGTATTTTTTGGAGTAGCCTGCCCTTTTTCTCAGGAGTGTGAGAGGAAAATGTTCAGCTTCATAAAAGAATATGCTGGGGGTTTCTGAAAGTATTTGTTAGTTTGTTTGTTTTTAAGGATACGATAACACTTCTCTTGCAAAAACTGTTTCGTTAACAGAAAGATAAGTCTGAACAACAGCCTGCAGGCTGGTATTCTTGATCCCAGCTGTCCTGGCCTGAACTGAAAATGCCAATACATTCCCTGCTTTACATTCAAGCAGATGGCTTCTGTTAGGAGTTATAAACCTTTCTGGTCTTTTGTTCTTTTGCAAACAACTTCTCCTTTTAAAATATTTTAAAAAGAGAATACTGAGTTCACAGAACTGGTAACTTATTTGACCTGAATTTTAGGGCTCGAGGCTTCCTCTAGGGATCAGGGTTCACTACCCCTGCAGACAAAGGGCACAGCCCAGAAAGGTAGTCCTATCAACTGGGTTTAAGGAAAGAAAAGAAAGAAAGCAGAAGCAGAGCAAGAGGTACAAGAGAAAAATGTCAGCAGGAGGCAGCAAGTAGAGAAAGTCAACTATCATGCCCTGCTATATGGGGAGAGTGAAGAAAAAAGTCCTACTATAGTAGAGCATGAGGAAGATGAAAGCGTTGATTGACTCTTGACTTTTGAACAGATGGACGAACAAACAACCCCAGGCAGTTATAGAGCACGACTGAGACATTTACAGCATCACAGGGAGTGGAGGGACTGAATGAGTAGAGAACTGGAACCATGTCACCTGACCAGGGCATACTCTTCATTAGCAACTCTGCATCCTCCAGGATGTCTTTCAGAGCATCTTTTTTCTCTTAAATTTAGTAGTGTGTTACAGTCTTACCCAAATCTTCATTCGCGAAGCCTAGCCATGATGACAATCTGTTCTGCAGAAGAACTAGAATGGGGTCAAAGGAGAGTATTGTCAGTGTTGTCTAGTCCATCCATAACACTTCTAGAGACTCATTTAAGAGCAATTTTAGTAAGGGTGGTTTTTGTATTGTGAACAGACATGCTCTAAGAACTGGAATGGAAGCCCATTACATACAGCCCATTCACTGAATAAAGGGATTTTTGATGAGTAACAGAGATAAAAATAGTCATCAGTTCTTACTCACAGCTAAGTCCTTAAGAGTGTGAATAAGCAGCACAGTCTAATGGGTAGAAGGTGTTTGTGGAAACAAGAAGCTCCTTTTTAATATTTACTCAGCTCTAGATTTGTTGAATGACAATGGATAACATCGGTGAACATTTTCACAGAGTAGTTAGTAACGTTGAACTACTTTGTGAAAATGTGTGGGATAATTAGTTATGAATGTTTTGAAGATATCAATTTCCATATTTCTGGTAATTGATTGTGACAATGCATCATACTGTGTGGTTTGTTAAATTAATTAAACAGATGAATGTGTCCCTTCATATCCCTCATGTCCATGCTACAAATGATAAAAGCCCACCAATAAGAAATTAAACTGAGTCAAATTTTCTCATCACGTCACTGAGTTGCACTGATTTCTTTGAAGCTATGCCCATCACTAATGATTTGGCTTACTAGGTCCAATGTCTTTATAAACAAAATTTAGAAGTACAACATTTGTTAATTGAGAGGGTCTGCTGTCATAACCTATGTCTTCTTTCATAGATTTCTGCACAAAAATCATTGTGAAAGACTATATTTTATAGTCTTCAGTTGTAGAATAAGCCTTTTCAGTGGTGTTAACACTCCCACATTCACACCAGAAAGTTGACTTGGCTTCTAGAAGTAGTATTGAGTGCCAAACCAGATTATTCCTACTGTGTAACTAGTTTTCACCTGTTTTTTGGATTTTTTTCTGTATGAAGCATTAATGAAAGAATACTTCTTGGAATAATGTAATGGCTAGAGGAAGGTAGTGCTATTCATGGCTTTGCTAGGCAGTAGCATAGGTACACTCTACGATTATTTGCAAACCACAGCAAACCACTTTAAGTATCTGTAAAGAACCTTCCCTGTCAGAAAAATGGATGTAAGAATAATACCACTTGTGCTGGTTTCCACTTTTCAGGTTTTGTTACTCGTAAGCTGTAATGCTTAATGCTCAAAATCACTAGTTATTCTTATTGCAGCATCATTTTTAAAAAAAGTCTCTCTTTTTTTTCTGGTTTTGGTATGATTGACTGTCATACCAATAACACTGTTTTTCATATGACATACTGTACTCACTGTTGTTTGAAACCACTATTAGAACATTTGACAATAACATTTTCTTTTTAAACTGACTTGTATTTTTTCCAGCACTGTTTTTTTTCCTTTTCTTTTCCTGTTTATCTAAAATAGCTGAAAGAAAAGGACACATTGCGTCAAGGCTGATAGGACAAGAATTAGACCTACTGTATGCACTGATTGCATTCAGGCTTACGAACACTTCCTTTCTCCTCCCCCATACTCAAAGCCAGCTCTGCTCCATTCTTTTGGACAGGCAGGATATTGAGATTTACAAGGCCTCTACTCTTTCAAGTACTGGGAGACCATGGTACTTTCTAATTG